TACCCCCCGGGAAGATTCCTGGTACTCATTTCTGTTAGAGGCTGAGTGGACGCCAGAGCCATAGTGCAACTGGAAGGATTAGGTCAATTGAAAAACCCGATGACCTCATCGGGATTCGAACCCGCGACCTTCCGGCTTGTAACACAGTGCGTTAACTAACTACGCTACTTCCGTTCAGGTATTCTGACTGAAATTTTGGACCGGTATCCGTAACGGTCCTCAGTAAATCTAACTGAAACTCTGCTAATTCTGTTGTTACTGTTCACAAAAACCTGCCCTACAGAAGTGGTTCCCCTATTGTTAGAACGTTAGAAGATTGTATTGATTGTATTGAGTATTTCTAATATTCTACAAAATATGTTTATCCAAATTGTTATATAACGAGTGTTTTGGACTCGAAATTACGTAGATCCAGTTTCCGAAACGTTGTGTTCTAGTGTTTAGAATACCGGACGATGGACAAGGTCCAAAAACCCATTAATCCTGAGTGTCGTACACCATCGTCAGAACCCTATAGCGCCTGTTCGGTTATTTTTGTCTCTAAACGTTTGCGATTAGAAAATGCATTATAACAGGCATTAAACATTTTATAAAAATGGTATAAACAATAAGACATTCTAAATAAATAAATAATTTTATTCTATTCTATTTAAGTTGATGCCTAGAAAATTTAAATGTGGAGGGAGGAAAGGTTTTGGGGTTTGCACTATGTTACCAATGGTCCGTAGATTCGAAACGTTTTTGAGGATAACTGCCTAATCATGCTTTTGTTATTACAAGGAATTTGTCATGTCTGAGACCCGTGTCAGTTTCTTAACATGTTAATACTTTTTATAATACGAGACTGTTAGCCCTCACCCGACCATAAAAACTGGAAAAACACCCCTTGTATGCTGTTTGTGATTAATTATTTGATATACCCTCCATGTCTCGATGTCGTCTCGTTCATCCGCAATCTGAGCATGCGCCAAGCCGTGGTGACAAGGGATACAGCAAACAATTGTTATTGTCAAAAATTCAGTATCATAAACACAACTCTCCAGTAGTTAACATGTCTCAGTAATCCACTACATGTTTCGCCCTTACTTTTGAATCATTCTCACATGGTACAAATTTAAATGATGAAAGGTAAAGTTGTGTCTGTACGTAATTAATTAAGCACTGTCCCATGAAGACGTATGGAGTAAAAGAGGTATAGCTCAACCATTATTGACCTCGGCTCTAAATGTTAGTTCACGCCTCGACCGCTTTACCCCTGCTGAAAGCCCCCCCCCCCGCAATACCAATTGCATAGGAGGCTGGATGGGCGCTCCCAGAACTGGTCTAGATGCTGTGGATTAGAGAAAATCTTTTCCCCTGCCAGGAATCGAACCCCGGCTGTCCAGCCCGTAGCCCGTTGATATATCGACCGAGCTATCCCGACTCCGGTAAGTCGGTGTCTTGAGTACAGAAGTCATCCACTGATGATACTCTGACAAGCCCTGTAGAGGAATGGTGATGGTTTTAATCTTCGTCATATGCGTTTTGTCGTAGGTCAGACGGCCACTGTCTCCTCAGTCTTCTTCTTAAATTTGGTGGGTTGCTAATTTCTACAACTAGTCTGTATTGTGTCCGAGTGTGCTTTGATTGCACAGTGTTGACAATCAACATATGTACTCGTATTTCTTCTATGACAGATGGGATTTGCAGATCATTGTGGATAGTAAAGTTGGAGATATACCGAGGTGCTTTAGTTACTGAGCGCAAGAATTTGGAGTGAAGTTTTTGAACTATTTTCGTGTTTGATGGTTTTCTACAGCCCCATAGCTATATACCATATGTCCATATGGATTTTATTATGCACGTATATAATAGAAGCTGATTTTCTCTGGATAGCTTGGATTTACGGTCCAAAAGCCAGGACATTTCTCGTAGTTTTAAATTTGACTTCCGACGGTTTGTTTTGACGTGTATCTGCCATGTCAGTTTTTGGTCGAGGTATGATCCCAAATATTTTACTTCGGTTTGGACCAGTATTTGCATATTATTGATGGTAACCTGCGGGCAAGTTATGCGTTTCGTGGTGAATTTAACTTTCGCTGATTTTGTCTGGTTTATTTTGATTTTCCATTTGCTGTACCATTGCTGGAGGAGGTTTAAGTGATGCTGAAGATGTTGTGATACTACCACTGGATCGTATTTGATGCTAGAAGGGCTGTGTCACCCGCGAGGGTTCTAATTTAATGTTCTTTGTTGTGGGCAAGTCTGCAGTGTAGATTTAGTATAGCAGAGGCCCCATCACGCTTCCTTGCGGTACACCTGACTTTACCTGGCAGCACTCTGAATATGAATTCTTATATTTTATTTGAAAGTGTATTTTAGTGATGCATGACTTTAAAAATAGGCAGTATGGACTGGGGAATATATTTTTGATTTTATATAGTAGTCCATTGTGCCAGACCTTGTACTGCTGCACACAATGTTTTTTCTTCGAGTCTTGTTGCAATCTTGTTTACGATTCTGTGTGTTTGTTGTATTGTGGAGTGTCCTTCCCTGAATCAAAATTGGTAATCGGGAGCAACAGTTGACAGGTCTAGGTCGTTTCTAATTCTCTTCACTAGTAAATTTTCAGAAAGCTTCGACGTGACCGGCAGCAAACCAATCGGTCGATAAAAATTTATTTAATTGGCTGGTTTCCCAGGTTTACGTATCGTTATGATCTGGGCGAATTTCCACATAGTCGTGTAGTGCGCCATTCTGAGCATGTTGATATAGATGGTTCTTATCAATACTCTTGCTTTTCTTGGAAATTGTCTCAGTATTTTCTTATGATAAGGACATAACCGGGTCCTTTGTGTGGATTTATGTTCTTAATTTCTTGTACTACTTCTCTAGGTAAGAAAGGTTTGATAGGTAACGACACTTGACGTGCTATTTCCAGGAAGATTTCAGTTTCACTGTCATTATGATTAATGTTAGAATGTTGTGTAAATACCTGTTCAAGATGTTCCGCGAACTTTATGGTTTCTTCACTGTTACTTTTTGCCTGGCTTCTGTCCGATTGTCTTGTCGGCGATATCAATATTTGGGGGTCTTTTGAACTTCTCTGTTGCCTTCCAGACTGTGTGGTCATCTTCAGAGGGAGACGCGATACAGTATTCGAGTTATCTTCATTGGTTGTATCCTGTTGTGTGTTCCAGATATATATATATAGGATGTATGTTAACCGTCAACACAACAAATACTCAGTTTTATATAGTACCAACCGTTGCACCGATGGGCATCCATGTCGGCATTTCCATGACTGTACGCATTCCTGTGTATAACTGCCTGATGACGGTCTTGTACAGCCGAAACATGTAGCAGCAATAAAGATCGAAATTAAAACTGGGTATTTGTTGTGTTGACGGTTGACATAATTCCTAAATATAGTGGTCGAATGTTTTATTCTTCGCGTTGGTTAAGGCGTTACATAGTTTTCGCCTAAGTACCGTATTTACGCATGTATAGGCCGCGTGCGTGTATAGGCCGCAGCACAATTTTCAGACAGAAATTATAGAAAAAATAATTTTCTGCCCCGGTTTCCTCGATCTTTGAACACCCTGTATTACTAATTATGAATATAATTTTTTTAAATGAAGTGTGATTTCGAATATTTCGAATATAAGTCGCACCCCAGTTTTCCTCTTGAATTTTTGGCAAATAATGTGCGGCCTATACATGCGTAAATACGGTATGTTATAAAGAAGTTTGAAAGCGATAAAAGATTATTGTAAAAATAAAAGATCATTGTGTTGATGGTCTTGAATAGAATTTCTACTTGTAAAACACAACAGGCTGGAAAAATCAAAGTTCAATTATTGGTATTTTCTTTTCATAGATCCTGGTTTTGGAATTGCATGAATATTTATAAAGAGACTCTGGAGAAACATGAAGAAACGTGTCTGAATATTGCAAGGACGGGCAGTGCAGGCCGCTGGAACCTCATGCACTTTCGACTTTCCATTGCAGTTCCTGCTGTTGAAAATTTTACGGTTTAGGAGCGTCTACATCGGAGGAACCAAAGTCCCGATTTTAACGAGATTGTCCCCCCCCCTTTTTGAGCGACGTGTCCCGTTGCCCTGGCAAAGATTAAATTGGAGGCCAAACAGGATAGCCATATCATTTTGAAGTCTACATGAAAACGTAGCTCTCACACCCAATTCCCTAATGATGCTTGGGTGACAGGCACGTGTTTGTGCGCGCATGCGCACTACGGTGTGGAGACACGCAGTCTCGGGCGTCGCATGGCCGGTTTAGTTTTTAATTACCCTGTTTAAATTTTGGCATTCGTTTCTTGGAGAGAGAATTTAAAATTTGTTATCGTATCACACACACAAACACACACATATATATAAACAGAAACTGAGAACATTTCAGACTGTAAAATAGTGACAGCAAGCAAGCGAGAGATGGAAATGCTCTCACCATAAGGTTATATCAGTGCTATCAGATTTTGAATATTTTTGAAGTAATGAACAATTCACCGAGGCCCTCTGTTACAATTTATAACAAGCTTATTTTTTTACGGCGAGGAGTTCTTAGCCCCATTCCCATCACCTAATAGGGATGACCAACTCTTGTCGGCTGTCCGCGACTGTTTATTCACTATATTCGGAACATTCCTCCATATCTGGAGGCCGCCCTATCAATCCGCAACCTGAGGCAGTGTTCAGATATTTTGGAACGGCAGTAACAAATCAAAATTTCATTCAGAAGGAAATGAAGAGGAGATTAAATTCAGTCCAGAACCTTTTGTGTTCCCGTCTGCTGTCCAAAAACATAAAAATTATATCATACAAAACTATAATTTTGTCTGTGGCTGTGTATGGGTATGAAACTGGGTCTCTGACATTAAGGGAGGAACATAGACTGACGGTGTTTGAGAACAGGGTGTTGAGGATATTTGGACCGAAGAGAGATGAAGTGACTGGAGGTTGGAGAAAATTAGGAGCTTCATAACTTGTACTCTTCACCAAATATAATTAGAATGATCAAGTTAAGGAAGATGAGGCCGCGCCATACCTCAAGCGGTTAGTCGCTGGCTTCCCACCGGGGGGCGGGGCCGGGTTCGATCCTGGATCTAATCAAGTTGGATTTGTGGTGGAGAAAGTGACGCTGGGGCAGGTTTTCTCCGAGTACTTCGGTTTCCACTGCCAATCTTGATTCCACCAATTGCTCCACAATCACCCTCACCTATCATCTGGGGCTGGTACAATAGGCCAGAAGTGGCCGCAGTACAAGGGACTTAGTCCCACCCCACTAGCAATAAAAAAAAAAAAAGAGAACTGGCAAGGGAGATCGAAGTATTCGGATAAATACTGCCCCAATGCCATGTTAGCCACCAAAAATCCTACATGACCTGACTTGGATTCGAAGTCAAACCTCCGCAATGGAAAGCCGGTAAATAACCGCCTGAACAGTGGCACTGCGTAGAAATAGGCATGTGACTGGACAAGAAGCTTAGAGCTAGGCATCCAATTGGACTAGGAACTTTGAGTTAGGCATCCAATTGTACTAGGAACTTAGATTGGAAAAGGAATTTGGAGCTAGGCACCGGATTGTACAAGGAATATGGAGATAAGCGTCAGGTTGGATAAGGAATTTGGGGCTAGGCACCGGATTGGACAAGGAGTATGGAGATAAGCGTCAGGTTGGATAAGGAACTAAGAGCTATGCATCCGATTCGTTGGTTAATTTCTCTATTGTGAGTGTTAAGTGTCTATTAGAAATTAACTAAGGTAACCAGCAAGCACTTACCCCCACAAGTTTTGATTTCCCCACTTCTGTAGTTAGTTCTTCCTCTGCTTCCGGTCTGCTGCTACTGCTGCTGGTGCTGTTGCTGGATTCTTCGTCTTCCCCAGAGATGTTTTGTGCATCACACAGACACACAATCTGGAAGGCTGTAAATGCTGTGGAAGACGAAGCAAGAATATAAATAGCTTTTAATTTCTACGTATTATGAGAGAATTGTAGATATCCTGTCGGTATTAGATAACCCACAAAGACCAAAAACTTATCTCCCAAGTATTTCATGTGTAATTTATATGGATTTCTCACTTCTCTATTGCGTGCTACATGCCTTACCCAGTTTATTGTCCTTAATTTAATCACACTATCAATATTCCATGCAGAGCCCAAATTATGACGCCCAACATCAGCCAAATCTCACTATAGTTCTCCCTTTCTCTGACACTTGTCTGTTTGTAACTGTCATAATTTAGTCAAATACGTTAAAATCAAAGATCAAAGCATGCCAGCTGTCGTCAGAATTGTATAATATAAAAAACTTTAGAGAGATAATTACTAGAAATCATGCCATTATCTGAATTATGATATTTAGTGAACTGCTGAAATGATGTGATTGAAACATTACGGTAACTGGCATTAATATCAGTGTTATCGTGTTTTGTTATGTGTGATGGTATTGTCTGTCTGAAATATCTTTGAGGTTGTGCCATGCCTTGAACAGGCAACCGTAAAGAAAAGCCAAATATGCTTAGAGAATTCTCAGGTATGACAATTCTGGTTCTCATCTTACTTTGAAAACAGAATCTAGTAATTTCGTAATGATTACTTGACATTTATATAATGCTCTTATGATGGTAGCCATCCTTTCGTTATATAAAAAATGTATTTTCCGCCTTCATATTGCTCTCTACTTGATTGCTTTACTCTTAATCCGGAGAATGGAAGCAGTATATTCCTTCGAAACGTCGATGAACTGCTACCGTGCCAAACAATGTTACATCTCAGTAGATAGAACGTTTAAAGTTGTGCGTGTTCAACGAATTTTTCTGTATGATCATTTTAGTACCCCCTGTGTGTTGAAAATAGAATTTTCTAACGATGACGTCAAGATGTGCGTCACTATCTGATGATGACCCAACCTCAGTGATGTTTTAGACACAAAATAATGCACATTTTTACGTATTAAAACACAGCAAAAGGTTAAATATAGAATTATGTCTTAAGAACAGTGAATGAAAGTTTGAGGTAAAAGTCACACGAATCTCCTTACCTGTGTAAACTGCTAGGAAATAAAATGCAATAAATCGCCTTTCTTGCATGTCGAATGGCCATGCAGCAGGGTCGGTGACGGGAATTCGTGAGGGTCGAGACGGGACACGAAGCGGTTGCGCGGGATCAATAATGGAATGCAGGGGCGCAGAATCCGTCTGCTCGTGGCTTCGACCCTTCGTTAGCATACTTGGAGACGTTGGAGACATTGTTTCATAGCGTCAGACCCACTGACACAGTTGTGAAACGATTCCATTGACTCTTCATGTTTTATCGAGAATAGTCGTTTAGGACTAATTAGACTACTACGCAATGAAGGCGTATGGGGGAGTGGATGTATAGATCCATATTTTCTTGACCTCGGTACTAGTTGAAGGTGAGTGGTCAGCTCCACTCCTCGGCCCCTTTACCCCCGGGGAAAGAGCCCACAGCACCCATTGGATAGGAGGCTGGGTGAGCCCCAGAGTGAAAATTCTTGACCCTACCAGGACTCGAACTCCGATCCCTCGGTCGTCCAGCTCGTATCTATACTAGAGTTTATTTAGTTCTGTTGGCATGTAGGTAAAAGACGGGTAGCGCAGTGTAGTTACTAGGATAAGGGCTGGACGATTGGAGAATAAGGATTCGGTTCTTAGCGGGTGCAGGGATGTTTACCGCAGTATCCAACCTGGTTCTGGGGCCCACGCAGCCCCTCTCAAGCTTATGGTATTTTGTTTGAGGTTTATTTTACGGCGCTGTATCCATCTAAGCTATAGAGCGTCGAATAGTAGGGCGATTACTGAAAAATAACTTGGGAATAATTTGGAAATAAGCAGTCGTGGTATTATTTAGGTACTATCCCATCATTCTCAGGAAGTATCGAGGAAACCCACGAAAATGTCAGGATGGTTGTCCGATCCAAATTCAGATAGAACACATTTCAAGGAGGCCAGCTCCCTTGATATCCAGTGGATGCTGACAGTGAAACAGTCAGGGTGTGAAGGTAACTAACCACTCATTCATCTAGTACTGAGGTTAAGAATGTGTGGGCCTATCTATACACCTCCCCCCTTATGTCTTCATGGCATGATGGTTAAACACAAAGACAGCTTTACCTTTTCGTTTGTTGGTATACCTGTACATTCTCTATATTTTGATGGTGTGTTTACACATATACTACATTATAATACCGTTTATCGCACCGTGTTTATTTCAAATGAAGCAACATAAAACGAAAATATTCCTCTTAGAGTGACAACCCTACAAATGTCACTAATTTTGCTGCTACATGCATGGATTCGACTCCAGTAAATGTCTTTGCCCAAATAATTTGAAAGGACACTCCATACTAAGTACACAAAGCTGTCAACGGGGTTCTTTGAGATTTATTAAAATTTATGAAACCAATTAAAGATAATTTGGGGCACGCGGTAGCGTGGCTAGTTGAGGCACTATGCTACAAGCCAGAAGGTCGCGGGTTCGTTTCCCGATGAGGTCATTGGATTTTTAAATTGACCTAATCCTTCNTATAGGGATACCTTAACCTTTTACCTTTAATGAAAGATAATTAGTTAAAGTTTCCCGTATCGAATTTTAACAGTGAAACCGTTTACGGAGTAAATGGAAAGTCCACTTGTTGCCTTACGTAAACCAAGCCTGATTACCAACTAACATGGCTGAAAATTGGGACTTCCCCCCAATTTCTGGTGATGTACTCCATATCGAATTTCAGAAGAATCCTTGAAGCTGTTTATGTGATATGCGGAAAAGTCCATTTATGCAAACAAGGTTTTATTGTGGATTAATATGGTTCAAAATATGAATTGCCCTAGTAAGCTGCCCCTGTAACAGGTTGTGAAGGCCCACAGGACTGTGAAACGTCGAGGTTCCCACATTTTCTAGACAATCGACTCACAGATGGCGGTGAGGTTGTCAACCTTACGTACAGGCCACCCTTTACCCCCCATACCCTCCGGAATATTCACGGTATTCATTTCTGTTAGAGGCTAAGTCGACCCCAGCGCCATAGTGCGGCTGTAAAGAATAGGTGAATTGAAAAAATCCACCCCATCGGGACTCGAACTCACGCCCTTCCGGCTTGTAGCCTAGTGCCTCAACCAACTACGCTACCCTTGTAGCTGTTAGTGAAGGTTTTCCGTGCATGATTCTGATTAAATGTGTTCAAGAATATGCGTTGATACGAGTCACAGGCAGACAGGGATGTGGTTGCTGTCCTTGTCACTGTCACAGTATATAGCAGCTAATTGTTAACGAAGAGGCCGGTCACGGTAGCTGAGCAGTCCTACGCATGCACTGTCTTCGCTCGCTCGGAAGCCGGGGTCGTGGGTTGGAATCCCACTTAGGCCATGGATATTTAATGTTTGTGTGTATGTGCGTTTTCCTGCGTTTGTATACAGGTAGGGAGGCCTTGCGACGAGCTGATCACCCGCCCAAGGAGTCCTACCGAATGTCTAAGATCTAGTAAACCAAAGTGAAACGGAGAGTTTCATGGAGGCAGGCCTAGGCCCAAATTGGGGCTGTAGCGCCAAAAGAAAAAAACGGTAACGAAGAGCAGTCAGATTAAGAAATGTCCTCTTGCAGCAATTGAAAGACGCGAGAATGAAGAATCGAACGAAGTCCAGAAATTCCATCGCAATATTGTTCCTTGCTTGAACTGACATATCTGCAAGTTTCCTTGTTCCTTGCTTGAACTGACATATCTGCAAGTTTCCTTGTTCCTTGCTTGAACTGACATATCTGCAAGTTTCCTTGTTCCTTGCTTGAACTGACACATCTGCAAGTTCCCTTGTTCCTTGCTTGAACTGACATATCTGCAAGTTTCCTTGTTCCTTGCTTGAACTGACACATCTGCAAGTTTCCTTGTTCCTTGCTTGAACTGACACATCTGCAAGTTTCCTTGTTCCTTGCTTGAACTCACACATTTGCAAGTTTCCTTGTTCCTTGCTTGAACTGACATATCTGCAAGTTTCCTTGTTCCTTGCTTGAACTGACATCTGCAAGTTTCCTTGTTCCTTGCTTGAACTGACACATCTGCAGTTTTCCTTGTTCCTTGCTTGAACTGACATCTGCAGGTTTCCTTGTTCCTTGCTTGAACTGACATATCTGGAAGTGTCCTTGTTCCTTGCTTGAACTGACACATCTGCAGGTTTCCTTGTTCCTTGCTTGAACTGACATATCTGCAAGTTTCCTTACAGCTTCAAGCCCGAGATGGGAAAACAAGAAAGAGAAACATCACATTTTTATGGAACGAACTGTATAATTATGCAACTAAAACAACAGTCAAATAAGGACTAAGGTCAGGGTTCGTGTATCTAATGCCGCAGTACCGACTGGAAGTCAGTTTGTATCCGGAAGGACCTACGACTGGCCAACTCAATCAAGGTTTGCGTCGTTTTACTCGAGCAAACTCTGAGTTTGCTACCCAAATTCCGCATTGCACCGCATGCTTCATGTGTAACCCACCCGATGTTAAATAAAAATTGCAGCACCTTCAAATTTAATATTCAAATTAATTCCCATCAGAAGCAGTAAAACCCACGACCCAAACTTCACCTTCTGCTCATAATAAAATCCACATGGCAAACCTCTGCCTTCTTCATTTCCTGACGAACCCTCAACAGAAGGTCTGGGAACCTTGAAAGCTGGACACTGTTTTTTACCCCCCCCCCCCAACTCACCTTTTCTCTCTCCTTTCTTATGTGTAGACGACATAAACCCCGATCGGAGTTGTCGCGCGGTCTCTCCGCTCACTCGAACGCTGGGATCGTGGGTTGGAATCCCACTCGAGGCATGGATGTTGTGTGCGTTTACTCTGTGTTCGTGTTGTTCTCTGTGTAGGTAGGGGCCTTGCGACGGGCTTATCCCCCTTCCAAGGAGTGCTACCGACTGTGTATATGATTCAGAAACTGAAAAAGCGGCCAAGGTCCAACAGAAGGATTGTAGAGCGATAGATAGATAGATAAATAGATATATAGATAGACGACAAAAATCTATTTGACTGAGCCGCGTCTCGTTTCTAGTGAATTAAATTAATATGTCGTCATAGTGACCTCTGGTTCTACAACATGTGTTCTGAATTTCATGTCAGTCATTTGAGTGGCTCAGAATTTAATGAGAGGAAGGAATACAAATGTACATTGATTAATATGCCTGCCTGATAAACTTTTGAAGGAATCACTCTGAAATACTATACATATGACAGAGCCCAATGTGCAACGTTTAGATGTAATATGCGTCCGGTCCCTTATTACTGACGATATACAGAGTGATTCTAAGTTATTGTTAACATTTCTGTGGCCTATAATTTTCAAACAAAAAAAAATACTGCATACGGAATACGAAAGTGTAACTCGAATTTTGATTTCTGGTAGAATCAATACTGCAGATTACTAACAACTTCAACATGCGAGCCTTTTGCGGTACGTAGGATGTCCAAGAAGTATTCAGTTTCACTCCAAGTGTTCTCCAGCATTTGCGGTATAACTGTTTCCGTCGCAGCAGACTGCTTTAACTAACGTCGGATAACATTATCTAAAGCTGGATCTCTTCCATATTGAGTTCTGTAACGAAGTTGCGTTTTGATAACGGACTTTGTTTCGAAAAACCAAAGTAAGCACATTGCTTTCCCTTGAACAGTCGCCATTTTGAGGTATGACGTCATATTTACTCCCAGATATTAATGAGGCGAATACAACGCCGCCAAATGAAACTTTTTTAGTTCCCCCAGCATTTTATGGAACCCGAAGGTTCATTACCAAGTTCATTGGTCCCTATCCTGAGCCAGATCGATCCAGTCAATAACATCCCATCCTATCTCTCTAAGATACATTTCCATATTGTTCAACTACGTCTTGGTATTCCTAGTGGTTCTTTCCTTCTGGCTTTCCCACCAATATCATATGCATTCAGCTTCTTCCCATTCGTGCTACATGCCCTGCCCATCCCACCCTCCTTGAATTGATCATTCTAATTATACTTGGAGAAGAGTACAAGTTATGAAGCTCCTCATTATGCAGTTTTCTCCAACCTCCAGTCACTTCATCCCTCTTCGGTCGAAATATTCTCCTCAGCACCCTGTTCTCGAACACCCTCAGTCTATG